CTCTTCCAGGACATTTCACCAGGTAAGAGAGCATTACTGACAGACATGAAGGTTGTCTACATAAGCAATGTTTGCTGCTTAGTTAGCCTGACTGATCGATACCGTTCCCAACCGTCCTTCAATAAATATGAGATTAAACAGGAAGAGATATTAACTTTGCTCCTCAGAAACACAAGAGAATAAAGCTGTGAGTTAATTATTCAGCTGTTTGTTTTTAAACTAAAGCAGCTTTATAAAGGTCGCCTGCATGTGGCAGTCCTAATTTGTTGGATAAACTTTGAGATTAAACAAACAAGATGCTGCTTGTTAATATATTATGAGCAGACTGTTGGATTTAATCATCTCTGAGCAAGCAAGAGGGAAGTATCGCTCTGCTACTAAAAAAGACTCTTATTTTGTTAGTCTTTCTGAGTTAGGAAAAAAATGAGATATTAAAACGTTTCCGATGTTTGCATATCTACACAAAATAACATTGAATATTGATAAAATTCAGGTAAGATACTAATACACATTTCGTTGTAACTGAAGAGTCGGCTCCACTCTGGATCGACCGGCTGAAGGTCAATACCTGTTGGCGGTTTAAAAGGGATCTCCTCCTGCTATAGAAGCAGGATCTGTTGGGTTTTTTTTAGCAGGTAGAGAACATGTCCCCCAAGGATGATGTGAAGAGAAAACTGTAGAGGAGGATGGCGAAGATTCTTCTGTCGCATAAATGGAAATAGAAAAGTATATGGAAGCATCTTTTCCCTGAATGTCCTGCATTATTTATTTATTTTTTGGCTTCTTTTGCTCTACTTCCGACAAAAACATTAACTTTTTAGCAAAACTACGTTTTACTAAAATATATATCTAGTCTAAAGTAATAACTTGTTAACATTGCTTTGGCCGAATACAACTGCGTTGTATTTTTCCAGGTTGTGCTTCTATAAAAACTTCGTTGTGCAGATGTTGATAAGATGGTAATACGATAATGGATGCCATGTAATTTGGGGCTGTATTTTGAAGCTTGTATGTTCAAAAGCTCCAGATTAAGACAGACTTTGCCTTTCCGCTCAACAACGAGCCAAAGCGCACATTCAAATAAAAAATTGAAGGGCTTCAGCGGGGGATCAGCGCTCCGAATGCCTCACCCTGAGCCCAGACCCTTTTCTAATTGAAAAGCTACATGGAGAGCTGCAGCAGGAAAGGCTTTAAATAAATTTGCAAAGCAGGGTGAAATAAAACTGTGAAGTCAAGATGTGCCAGGCCTCTGCTCTATTTCCTTAAAGATCTGAGTGCTTTGATAAAATCATAAGCACATCCTTGGGCTCTTTCTCAGGTGAGACCTAGAAATGATGCTTTTGAATGTCCTGAATAGAGCAGGACTTCTTACAGTCAACTCTCTCTTATCACAGATAATTCAGCAAACACACGGGGGTTTCATACTTTTTCCTCTCTCTCAATCATTTCTTCCCTTTCTCAGCCTGCAGGGAGGCCAGGCAGTTTCTTGGCCTCACTTGACTTGCTGCTAAATGGAACAATTGGTTGTGATCCATCAGCAGCAGCAGTTGCCAGAGAGGCAACAAAGACATTCCTCCCATTATCCCTCAGCCCTGAAATTCACCGATAGGGAAGAGGGAACAACTGTCAAACCATTAGCTGGTTTTAAACCCCTCTTATGTTGAGCAGGACAATTTGAATCTGCTCTGCGTTTCTTAATTTGACCCAAACAGGCACTCGGTGTGTGAATCTTTAATGAGTTGATTGTAACAAACACTTGAGTTGTCATTGACAGTTGAATGAGCTGTCCTCCCCTCTGGCACTTTGCCACCAAACTCACCTCCATCTATCCTTGGCAGTGTGAATGCAGAACAGCGGTACAAGCTTCATCTTATCTGCTTCTGATTCATATGAGAGAGCAAATCCAACATATTCATAGTGCTGAATGCCTGCAACCTCAAGCGTTCATAGGTTTTGGTATGGTGATATTTTCTCAGTGAGTTCTGCCCTGAATTAGTTTTCTGTCTGACCAGTCAGGAGAGCTCAAATGGCTTCCTGTCTCATTTAGCCGCTAACAACACTAATTAAAATTAGTTTTTGGCTACTGAAAAAGCATAGACTGTTCTCTTAACTTCACCTAAGAGATTAATTTCAATAGTTTGAGTTTCAACAAAACCTTTTTTTTTTTATGATTCGAAAACACCAAAAGGTAGAAAAGTAGAAAAGAAAACTGACATCTGTTGTTATAAATTTTTTTCCATCCTTTGGGTCATAACATAAAGATGAAGAAGGCCCACTTTTGCCAGGCCGTTAAATTTCTTCTAGGATGGCTCAAATGATCGTGAATAAACTGTCATTGCCATCGTTTGGATTGTTATAATTTTTGGCCAATACAATGTTTTCCCTAAGATTTTGATAGGGGCTCGGGCTTAATGTTCTTTGTACCCTGCACATGTTCAAAATGCATGTATGGGATGGGATGATAGGGGGATGTAAGTAGTGTTCCTTTCATTAACACTCTAAAAAAGGTTAATTTTGTATGCTGCTGAATCCTTCACAAACCCTCTGTGCTCCACTGATATTTTCTCCTTACTTTACAGAATCTTTGCCAATTTATGCGACTTGTTTTGTATCTTTCTTTTATTTATTTTTTTTACGCTGTAAGGGGAATTTGTATCTCCCGTTAATATGCGTGATATTAAATTGATCCAGTCTGAAGTTTTACTGGAACACCTGGAGTAGCGAACATTGTTGACAAAGAGTGTTGAACGTGTATTACCGACCACATAGGCACAGAATCCAGCACTGGTTTGAGATCCAGCATTACTTAAAGAGGTTAATAAATTTATTGGCATAAGTTCACCAAATGCCATTAAAGTGATCCGGCCTCACCCAGCAACGACATCGCCCGCCCTGCTTGGATATTAGCAGAGGAAACGCTGTCCAAGTGGTGATAATTGGACATAGTCTCGCAGCAGCAGGTGCTTGCATTAAGCTTAATAACATTACCCAGAATGCTTAAGGTAACGCTACATAGGAAGCAAAGATGAGACAGATTTGAAAAATGAAAACGGGTATACCTGATCTTAGTGTCTTGATATCACGCAGCTCTTCTCACAGGATGAGCCATCTGTCTTAACTGGGCCCTAACCTGTCGTTTTCCTAAATTTTGGTTGTTTCCTTTAAATAAAAATGTTCAACAGGGGAAAAGAAAGAAGCATTCGATCTGTTCTCATTATTGTGTATACATCTTAGAAGATCTGCAGAAAGGATCTTTGAAGTAAAAGTGGTTTCAGTTTCTTTAAATGCAGACTGGTTTTCTCTAAACTGGACTGTTCTGCTCTTCGTTTGTGTGAAAGCTTTAATTTGTTTTAGAAGGCAATTTTGATCTGTACCATCTCTTTAAGCTATCATTACGCCCCTGGTAGGGCTCTGACGTGTCTTACATCAGGGAAGCCATGTTTGCATGAAGCTCCACTGGGAGCAAACCCTTGATAAAACAGAACTACAGAGACTTGGACGTCCTACAGCGCTGTGAACTGAAACTGCTACTCCCTAGCCTATAATTACTGTCTTTCTGTTGCTTTCATTCCTGGCGTAGGTTGATTTTGCTGAAACTGAGATGCCCTGTAGGACGCTTTACTTTGAAGCCTATGAGGACAGATACATGGTGCAATTGGTCACATGAATGCAGCTGCTGTGAAATAATATTTTGTGTCTCAAGTGTGCAGCTGTAATCGGCGGGAACATTTTGCGCTGTGGACACACCCATTTAGTAAATTTTCTTAGCATCTTTAGTAAATTTACCAATCAACTCACATGATTCTGTTAACATCGCATTGGCTCTACTTCAGATAACATGGGTGCTTTTATCCAAGTCATAAGGGCAATGCTGATAGGCAATACAATTTATTTTAAATTCCATTATTAGCATACGTTAGCTGACCCCAGAACAGAGGGGAATAATGACCAAAGCTGGTGAGGGACAAAATAAACCTTTCGGAATATAGAAAAATAACTTTTGTTGTGCATTTGAAATTATTATAAAAGGCAGAACGTTTTATATACAATTTGCTCTTAAATTCATTGCATTATATGTTTAGAAATATAATATTTGTAGGGCCTTGTCTTAATTACTGCTGTAAGAAGGTTATTTTTTCAGATTAATTTACCAATAATCAATTAATCATTTCAGTTTAGGAATGTCTTCAACTTAAATTTAGGTTGAAGGGTTTTATGGAGATTTATCCAGTGAAGAGGAGAAGGTGAGGAAAGTTGCAGCTTGGAGACCTAACATACCAGCATCATACCCTGATATTTAAAAACTTTCTGAGCCCAGTATTCCCAGAAGGCATCACAATTAAATACTTGACCCTTGGATTTGCTCTCTCATATGAATCACAGGAGGTGTTCATGTTACTGAATTATAGCTGTTTATTGGAGTGATCCTCTGTGGGAGGAAACTGTTCCTCAATCTGGTGCTTTTGGAGACATTGCTCTGTAGTGCCTTTCAGAGGGGAGAGGTTAGAACAGGTTGTGACCAGGCTGAGTGTTTTTTTTCCCCCTAGCCATATGTTTTTTCCAAATACTTTGTCCGTTTCAGCATGATGCACAGGAATCCATGCTTTGAATAGATCTACACCGGCTCTACACATGGTCTTTATATCCCCTGAAATAGCTTAGAGTTGCTGCGTCCCCTCATAATCGTGGAAAGAGACATGTTGCCAGCAGAAAGGCTCTTATTGCTGTTTTTAAACAATTTGTAATCTACAAGTTGACTCACAGATAGCTCACTTTATCTCTGGTTGACAGTAGTAGCTTCATGTTTATTTAAAATCTGTTTTAAATAGATTCTGGTTCTGTTTCTCTTAGAGAAATGCATTTAAACATATCTCACCCAGTATATAATGGTTTATAATGATTCATGTTACCTAGTTTCAAGCTTAGCATTTTTTCTACCTCTGAAATCTGACATAAAACCTTGGAACAACTAGTCTTCTTTTATCCCTCTCACTTAACAGTGCCTGCAGCCTTGACCCTTGACCCCATCACGGCTCACCAAAGACTGATCCTCTCAGACGACTGCACCATCGTGGCCTATGGGAACCTCCACCCACAGCCTCTGCAGGACTCCATCAGGCGCTTCGATGTGGAGGTGTCCGTCCTTGGAGCCGAGGGCTTCATGTCGGGCGTCCATTACTGGGAGGTGATGGTGTCCGAGAAGACGCAGTGGATGATCGGCGTCGCCAACGAGACCGTGAGCCGGAAGGGCAGCATCCAGATCCAGCCGAGTCGTGGCTTCTATTGCATCGTCATGCACGACGGCAACCAGTACAGCGCCTGCACTGAGCCCTGGACCCGCCTTAATGTCAAGAGCAAGCTGGAGAAGGTGGGGGTGTTCCTGGATTACCCCAAAGGCCTGCTGATCTTCTACAACGCGGACGACATGTCCTGGCTCTACACATACCGGGAGAAATTCACCTCCAAGGTCTTTCCTTATTTCAGCCCCGGCCAGAGCCATGCTAACGGGAAGAACGTGCAGCCGCTGCGGATCAACACGGTGCGCCTTTAAGAGCAACTCGCAGTTGTTGTAGACGACCAAATGATAAATCAATTATAGGAGACAGGAAAAAAAAGGATATATTTAAAAATGTTTAATCGGGTGTTTAAATAGTTCCCTTGATTTCTGTCAAGAGTCATGCTTACATTACTCTAAGAAATGTTTATTTTTAAAAAACCTTAAAGTCATCGTTTGCACTTGGACCTAATTTAGCATCTTTTTAGTAACTGATGACACTTCAAGAGACAAAGAACATTCCTCTTTGATTACTTGTCCGAGGCTCACCCTGCACACTCCCAGGTGGCCCCGCTCTCACTGCAAACTCATATCTAACCTGTCACCTGTTTGTCTGCAAACAAGTGCACAGTGAAGTTCTACAACTGGCTTCACTTCCTGTGCAGGATGTGATTGACACCACTCCTGTCACCTTTTGTTCCTCCATTTTTTCCAGACTGGTTCTCTAATGTCAAGTGTGTTGGTATCATGGGGTTATTACTGTTTTATAATCACGTTTATAAGTTAATATGTTGATTTTGGCTTAAAAGAGCCTTACTTAAAAAAAAAAAATGGCATCAATTTATGTCTTAGACCTATAAGTTTCTTTCTCTGGTCACTTTCTGTACAGTCTGTCTTTGTGAAGAAAACCTGTGTGTTCTGTCCACTTTATTTCTAAATACTTCAGTGGGTGAAATAGCTCTTGGAGCAGTGCCTTGCAAAAGTATTCGCACTTATACATTTTTCATATTTTCAACACAATGTAAACACAGACTTATAGAGGGATGAAATTCCTTTTAAATAAAAATCTGAAAAGGGTGGTATGCATTTACAGGGGGGCCTTCCAAGTCAGTTAATTTGTGAGTTCTTTGCAAAATGGGTCAAACTTATTATATGTATCAGATTATAGGTATCAGATTAAATGGGGCTAAATACAAATGTATGCTGCAATTCCCTGATTTTAGATGTGAAAGCTTTCAGTCTACTGCCAGATCACTATATTCACCACTTTCTTTAGTTATATCAATAAAACATAGTGGCAGTTACTTTATTTGAGGGATGTGAATACTTTTGTAAGGCTCCGCGTTCTGTTTGTGCATTTAAAGGTTAGGTCATTGTTTGGGAGTATGCTGCTGTTGGTGGACCAAGGACCTTTTAGTTTTTGTATATAAGGTATAAATGTGGAAAAAAGGAATAATCCTCCAGTGGAGCTGGTTCGTATTTAAGTTCCTCTTTCTTAACACCGTCCACTCGTCTTTGTTTCTTCATCTTGTCTTCATATAAAATGAATATTAAATTAAGTAAATGTTGAATCTTGTCGTCTTCAGATGTGAGAACACTACAGAGAACAGATGTTCTCTTACTTTAATTTGACTCGTGAATTTAGATTGAGGATAAGTGGAAGGTTGTGCACTGTTGCATAATAAGAATCCAAAATAATTCCTGCGATGCTCGGCCGTGTCCCTCTGTGTCCAACATGCCTCAAGTGCTCTTGTATCATCATTAGTCACACAAAAGTCCTGCTGAAAGAGTCTCTCAGCAAAGCCAGACTACTGAGAGGAGTGTTTGGGATCATGTTGTGGGGGCTTGGATCCATTTCTGCCACCTGGTACATCTGTGGTCTCAAATCCAACTTGGCTAGTGGTTAATGAAGCTGAAAACCCATAAAATGGCCAAAAAGTCTTAATAATTTAATGAAATACTTTAAGAAAAGTTTGATCTGAATTGACATATAGGATGAAAACAAAAGCAACAGCCTTTCCTTTGCCACTGTTCCCTTTTTTTTTTTTTTTTTTTTGCATTTGTGCGTGTGATGTCTTTGTCCGTTAAGTGAAATGTGGGCAGTGCCCTCTATTTGATAGGAAAGGATTCAGGTATGTGGCGTAGGATGCAAACCAAACTGCGAGTCAGTGGCTGCTTTAACACGCACAGATCTGCAGGAGCCTGCAAAGATTCAGAAGTTATGAGTCATTATGCAGAGCACCAGCTGGATCTGCTCAACACCTAAAGAAGCCCACTTTCAAGGTTCATTTTCTAAGGTTTTATGGTAAAGATCCAGACAGTATGGATAGTTTTCACCTATCTCCTCTGATCTGTTGGTCTAAAGTCATCTTTTAAAAGTGAATCTCGACATGCAGAATATTTGACTCCAGTTTGCTGTTCTTTGTTCAGATGGAATATAATGAGTAATGTGAGGTGGTGTTGGGATATTATATATTCTGCTTATAACTATGACACTTTATATGGATATTATGAAGATTGTGTCTTTAGACGATGGCCTCCACACACCTATCATTGTGTAAAAAAACTCCAACATGCTTTTGCTGCTGGAGGATTGTGGGAAATGTTTTAATGTACAATAAACTGCTGTTAAAACCTCACAGCGTGTTCGCCGTCCTCATTAAAATAATGGTGCTGCAGGGCTGTGCTTTGCTTTGGGATAAGGTGAGGGGGAGTAAAGTGAGACTCCTGTCTGATTGGTGGATCATTAATCACACCTTTTGATTGAAGTATGCCGACTCATCCACAAAATGTTTTTACATTTTTTTTTTTTAGCAAATAATATTTAGATCCGTTTTTACTCATTTATAAGAAGGCAGCAGTCTGAGTTGTCAGCTGTAAAAGAGGAAAGCAGCAGAGTACAGCTCCTCTAAATTTTTCCTGTTTGAAAGTAAAGTAAAAAATGAGAGCAATTGATGCTCGACTGTCGTGGCTAAAACAAAAGAACCACTCATCCAGCTTTTTTTTTGCTAAAACAATCAGATTTTAACCTAAGTGATCTAAAGTTAATTGAGAGACTGAATGTCTTAATATTCAGTTTGCTTTTAAAAAAGGAAGAATAGTCTTTCCTATTAGTGTGAAATTTGAAACGTATGAAACTGTAGCCCAAATATGAATCATAATAAGTAGAGGAGTCTTTACAGAAATGCTTTGCCTCTGCTTGTTAACGTTTGATCCCTCCCTGTCGGAGCTTCCTGCCAAATATTCTAGTGGAGACGAGCCAAACCCCCGGCTGGGAGGCGGGAAGCTGTGCCATCTTTTTTCCACCGCTCTTCCTTGTGTGTTTGGCAGCTGTGTGAGGCTTGGAGCGTGTGACATGATGAATGAAGAAAATGTCTCCTGGAGTTGGGTGTTTTTTCTCGCTGCAAGTGAGCCGCAGCTGCCAACAAGTCCCCTTTCCATCTGTGACGCATCCAAGTGCACGGTTGTTGAACTGCGAAATGAATTCTTTGGAAATTCATGACAAATCTTGACGCCTGATACACGCTCCATGTCTGAGCGCTGCAGAAATGTGAACAGCCTTTTTGCTTCATTACTTCACACTTTAAAGTAGTGGAGTCTTGTTGCATCATGGTTACAGCTGCTCCACATCAAATGGCAAACAGTTTGAAGCAACGTGCTATTTGCTTAGTAGATTATTATCAGAGGACATGGCGTCTGTCCTGTAATGGGCTTGTTAAACTTCAGGGGAAAGTGTCCACTAAACTCTCCTCAGGGAGATCTGATTCCAGCCTGCTGTGGCCCTCCTGGGGTGAAAAAGAGGTTTTTAATCTTGTAAAGGATGTGGGGGGGTTTAAAAGCAGAAATGAAGCCTAGGTCGTGTTATCTGAAGTTAAAACGTTCATTTTATTTTGAGCAACAATGGAATATAGTGCACTTAATATTTAAGTTTTCTGTATTAAGCAATGAATATAAAGTCACTTTTTATATATTTTCCTTTATACTGGGACAACAAGGCAGGCAAACATTTTTCTGCACATGGTTTAACAGACGTCACATCAGCAATAATACCCAACTGTATTAGGAGTCTGCTGGCAGGCCCCTATTTTTATATATTGTTTATCTAATTACATTTTTGGCATCTCACTCTGAGGATCCCGACTGGCCCACGTGTTTCACTTTGGACATCCCTCCTTTAGATCTTCTTGAGGACTACAACAAAGTATTACCTTACAGGAGATATGGCTAAATGGAAAGATTTTAAATAGCATCCATCAAACCATTAATCCATGATGTTCCCAGACCAGAAGGGACATATATTGGCCCAATAAAGTACATGGTAAATAAACTTATATAGCAGAATTCAATAAATAAACAATTCAACATGGTTTAGATAAATAAAACGATAAGATATAAGAAAAATAAAAGAATAAAAAAAGGGGGATCTGGATACTGACTCCTCTTATTGTTTTGTTTTTTTGTGACCGTCTGATGATTTGTTAATGCGCTCTTAAAACTGATATGGTAGATCAGCCACTACTAGGAAGATTCTTCATTGTTTAGTTTTTCTTCGATTTGTAAATAATGACTTTTTTTTCTTTTCTTTTTTTATTTTTATTTATAGTGGTAGAAATAAAGAGTTTATCCAATGACTTTAAAAGCAGTTAATGTCTTTCTTAGTTTTCAGATGAAATCAGAGGGGTTGAACAAAACTGATTCAACTAACAAACTGAATAATTCATATAATTTTTTCCCTATTCATTGCTTTCCTATAGGAACAACACACCAGCTCCACCTTTTCTATAATAGGGCGCCATCTGGTGTTGAGTTGTATACCATACACTTTGCTTGTACTGGAGCAAGTTTAGTTACTATAATAGATCAGATTATTGTATTATTTCTGAGCTTTTATATTTTACTATGGTAGAATTAGTTATATTAAATAAAAAAAATAGTAAAATCCAAAATATTGTGTATGGGGTTTGGCACATATTTCTAAAGCAGTTCATATGTGAGTCAGTTTCTACTTCTTGAAATAAAGAAAAAATATTTTAGGAGTGACCTGCAGCGGTTCTCCAACCTCAAGTTGGACCCACCAGCTTCTAAATCTAAGAAAAAGATAAGACTAACAGTTTTGCTGTTAAAGGAAAGTAAAACTTTCTTTGTCAAGCTATTTCCCTTGATAGGATATATAGATTAGACGCAGCACCTTTGCCATCTCAGTGTTTCCTAATTCTTTTTACTTGACGCAGACTGTCCTGCAGGATTTACAAGTTTCACTACTTTAATGCATCTGGTTTATGAGGTTGAGTCAGTGGAAATCAATGATGAGGTTATTCGTTCCTTTAAAAAAGGTATGTTACAATAGGAAAAGATGCGGAACATACTGCGATGACCGGTTGGGATAGATAGATAGAGACACAAAGAAGTCAAACAGGAAACACAGTTTCAGTATAGTTTTGCAAATATTTGCTTTCCTCTCACCTTTGTGGTTATGTCAAAAACGTGTTTCCATTTTTATACTTTAAATGTGATGTTTTCTATTGTCTAACATTATAAACAAAACAAAAATTCTGTTCAATTATCTTTTGTGTTTTGGAGCAGGGAGTTTCACAATCATGTCGGGACTTGTTTGTTGAAAATACGAGGGTAAAACTCAGAGCGACTGTCCCTGACCTACGGACAGACAGTTAAATCAAGTGGATTGAGTAAGGTTAACCTTTCAGGTCAGGTCAAAGGTCTTAGAAGGGTTAGTAAACAGAATACTAAACTCAGACACAAAGAATCCTGGGAACAGAGATACGACCCTGTTAGGGCAGAAAAAATCTGCTTGCAGACATCAGTATCCTGTTTGTTTAACTAATCCACAGTTTAATTTGAACCATTTTAAAGGGATCAGGTTCTTCTTTCTGACCTTTTTTGGTTCTATGTTTTACTTTGGCAACAGGCAAACAGGAAGAAAAATAACAAGTCGGATAGAGAGGATTTGCAGGGGTGAAAAAATAGGATGCTCCATTAAATATTCATTTTTATGACATTTTTTTAGTCCTAAGAGAGGAGTTGAA